TACAGTGGATGAAGACCCAGGGGGAACTGAATGACAAGCTTGCGCACTATATTCAGTTCACTGATCTGCTTGACTTTGAACTGAAACACAAGAAGGGTTGCTACAATTGTGCAGCAGCCGCCCTTTCTCGTAGGCCTGACGCTCTCTGCCTGATCTCCTCTACTCATACTTTTGGAGAGAGCACCCGTCAGACCATTGCCCAGTTATTGCCAAAGGACCCAATTTTTTGTCCGATTGTCAGGAATCTGCAGACTGATCCTGCCTCTGAACCAGGATACATTCTGGTTTCAGCTCTGCTGTACACTTGCAGCAGAGGAGAGGAACGTCTGTGCATCCCTCAGGACCGCCAACTGAGAACGCTCATTATGTCTGAGTGTCATGATGCTCGCGGCCACTTTGGGGCCTTAAAATCGTTGGCAGCCCTGTCGCAGCAGTTCTTCTGGCCAGAGATGAGGAAAGACATGTTGCACTATGTTGAGACCTGTGAGTTGTGCCAAAGGAACAAGGTCGTTCGTCGACCTCCCCTTGGCCTGTTGCAGCCACTTCCCATCCCTAATGCACCAGCACAGTCAGTGGCTATTGATTTCACTGACCTGGGGAGGACTACTCCTCGCGGTATGTGTTAGGTCATGGTGTGTGTAGACAGGTTCTCCAAGTACGCGGAGTTTATTCCTTTGCCAGAGGAAGCCAGAGTCCCAGCCGTGCGGGCGGCCTTTGCTGACAACTGGGTTACTCACCATGGACCACCCACCTCTGTTGTCAGTGACAAAGATCCGCGGTTCTGCAACAATGAATGACAGTCCTATTGTCAGGACTACCTTCATTCTAGACTGGATATGACATCTGGTCGTCATCCTGAAGCCAATGGGCAGACTGAAGTAATGAACCAGATCCTTTTCCAGTTGCTGCGTCCTGTGATCAGCCCTGATCAGCAGAATTGGGATCTCCATCTAGGACGGGCACAGCTAGTGTACAATACGTCTGTACACTCCTCCACAGGGTTCACCCCTTATCGATTGCACTGGGGACATGAGCCACGACAGCCTCTCGATGACATCATCGATAAGGCTTCCCCCAGACTGACTCCTGGGACTGCAGCGTTCACCAGACAGTACGAGAGGGATATCGAATGAGCCAGGGTTGTTTTCCTCACACGGGGTTTGAGACGAGTGTGTGGATCTAACCAAGGTATCAGCCAGGTGTGCTAGGAGGAGGTAGGATCAGAACGTACCTGCTCAAAGCCCAAAAGGGTATGATCCAGCAGGCTAACAAGCATCGTCGACCATCCCCCATTCGCGCTGGTGACTGGATCTGGGTACTCAGTTCTGAGCTATCACGGGAGGAGGACATTTCACCCAAGCTGTTGCCACATTATATGGGTCCATGGCAGGTTTTAGACACAGTGGGAGCTGACCCTTTCGGGCCATCTTATCATGTAGATGTCCCACTGCATCTACAAACCTAACCTGTCTTTCACATCCAAGTTGTTGCCGTTTGTCCCAGCTGATGCATTTCCAAACAGGCCTCCTCAATTTGGTCCCCCGATCCCTGGGAAGGGATATGAGGTGGAAAAAGTTGAGGATGAGTATGGTATAGGCCCGGATAAGGAATACCTTGTGAAGTTTCTCTACCAGCCCCATACTGAGGATCGCTGGTTTACTCGCAAGGAGCTTCTGAAAACAGCAAAGTCTGTTATCCTCAAATATGAGGCTGCGCAGAGGGGAGAACCCCTTCGACGCTCTGCACGCCTATGCCCCTAGCTCGGAGGTCCTCGCCCCAGGGGAGGGTAGGTCTGCAATGACTTGCTGGTTCCAGGTTGCATGTAGCCTCTCTCAGACGAGGCTGTACCATAGGTAGGGACATATTCGTCATTTTGTTTGGCTGAGGGCTAACCGAGAGACCTACCTGTAAGGAAAATTCATGAGGGACATATTTGTAAATATAGGAAATATGGGCCCAGTACTAACTCGAATTTCCTACAGCTACCCTAACTGCGAATAGCAGACCCGGGCTACCCCTAGGACAGACAGGCCCTATGGGCCTACGCTGATAGACGGTCCTATAGCCTATAGCCGGGTAGGGAGAGGCCCTAGAGGTCGAAACAGAAACGGTACCGGTCGGTCAGTTAGTCCGGTCTAGGTCGGTCTAGGCTAGTAGTAGAGTATAGATAGGATGGGGACATCGGTCCTGGGCTTTTTGGCACTTGACACTTCGTGGTGGGAGTCGCTGCGCACACAGTATCAGTTCGTGGTTGTTGATTCTAGTGTGGGAGACGGCGGACATAGGCGGACCTTCGGAGCGCTGACAAGACTGGGGTCAACGCTGTCCGCTCTGACTCTTTGGGAGTCAAAGCGGTCTAGGCTATCAGAGGTCTGATGCGTTGGAGCACGTGGTGCATTGCTGACCCTCCTCAGAAGTAGGGTCCCAGTGGCGATGCAGCCATAGCTGCATCTTCTCAGAGATATCATCGTCTGGACTTCATCTTCATCAAGGACTGTTGGCGCTGAGCTTCTTCTTCATCGTCTGGGTGGCGATTGGCTCTGGGAGTCTGTTTCACTTTGGCGCAGGCCACTGAGTTGGATGTCAGGGTGGCGCTGGGTGTTACCTGGGGTTTCGGTGCTATTTTTAGTTGTTCCGGGTGGTGGGGTTGAGGCGCTACCCCTCTGAGGGTAGCGCAGCAGGGTTCTGAGGTCATTTCAGTTGAACGATGCTCTGAGTTTAATAAACAGTGGTAATACTGTGTTTGAGTTGTCATCTCTTCATTGATTTCTGGCTGTGATCACTCGGTTGTGTTCTATGAATGATTGTTGGGATTTCTGTGGAGAGAATTCACTGAATTGTGTATTCTGTCACTTCGCTCCTCTGAGTCTTCCGCTGCGTTTTCTTTCCTGGGCGATGTGACCCTCCGCTACCTCTCCCCTTCCTTTTGTGCATGTATGGGTGTGTACGGGAGTTCCTGTGAGTGAGTGTTGATAAAATTTCAACAGACTATCATGTTCATAACACTATCCTCTCTCTTGTGTTGTTCATGGCTGACCTGCACCGCAGGATGCCGCTACTGCTGCTCATCGTCAGGCTGCTTATCTTGTGGTTTTCGTGTTCCACTTGTGTTTCCTGGGCGGCTTCTTGAGAGGAATCAGACGAGGCAGTCGACGAAGAAGGGGAGCAGGATGGACAAACAATTGACGAACAGTACAACGCCTGCAAGGGGGGAGGGGTCATCACGTCACCGAAGTGTTCCCATGGAAGCACGCAGGCAGTCGTCTCCTCATCACACACCCGCAGATCTTCGCAAAATTAAAATCCCGTCCGTTCTTCGTTTCATCCACCATCTTGGCGTCGCTCGAGGGGGCACACCGGAGCCCAGTGTTGCGATTGAACTACAGCCTCCGAAGTTGCCACACAGTCTGGGGCGTCGAGTTGTCACTCTTTGTATCAAGCCCAGTGTTGCGATTGAACTACAGCCTCCGAAGTTGCCACACAGTCTGGGGCGTCGAGTTGTCACTCTTTGTATCAACATCCTTTTCCTGTGCCTCAATTGCTTTGCCTACATGCGGCTGGACACTCTGTCTACCTGACAACGGCCAATGACGGCCAGCGCCGCCCCCACCACCGCCATCTTCTCAATGGACATCAACACTGCACGCCCATCTCCCCCCCCACCCTCCATTGCCCATGAACTACGAAAAGACGTGGTCACCCACAAGCCTGCCTCCTTCCTTGTGTACGCGTCCTCAGGGCGATCGGAACGGATGATGGCACAACAGAGGATTCGACCACCAAAGCTCGCGCTCCAAGGTGCCACGCACTGTCACTCAAGGAGCCGACCTGGCGACATACCTCTTCGCCGAACGCACCTTCCACCACACACTGCGCGTCGTCGTCATCACTCAGCGAGTCGAGAAGGAGAGTGCGAAAGGGATTGCGAGGAAAACAACATATCCACTGCCTAGCCGCCGCACTGTGAATGCCTGTGCTGCCTAGCCGTTGTCCCTCGCCGGAACTCGAATTTCAAATTTTGGACGGGGACATTCCCACCTTTTTTTTTTTTTTTGCGGCCCCCCACGTATTCACACCCGTCGCCTGGGTACCAACACGCCTCTTGAGCGGACATCCCGAACCGCACCACGGACACACCTCCCGCGGCCGCGTATAATCGTATAAAATTGGTCACGGGAAGCCCCCGAGGATTCGCCCTTGGAGCCATTCGTCGAGGATAGGTGGAACGCCACCACCAAAATTCCAAAATTTCACCGAGGATTCATCCTCGGAGCCCGAGGACGCCCTGAGGACTGTCTAACAAAGCCCAGAGATAGATAGATAGATAGATAGATAGATAGATAGATAGATAGATAGATAGATACAGAGAGAGAGAGAGAGAGAGAG